TCCAAGAACGCTGTTTTTCTTCTCTAGGAACATTCTTTTGGTGCAGCGTGTGTAGAAGCCGTTCGCCGCTCTGATAAAAATGACTGCGCAATCCTGCGCTGAGATGTCTTCTGCAGTGTATATTTCAGGGTAACAGAGTACAACCAAAAACTGAAGCACTGTACAGAAATTTGCAACTACCAAAAGAGGTGACATGTGTTTGAGGGCTACGCTGTAACCAGGCGAGAAATATTAGCAAGTGCCAATAAACTTTTTGTTTACATGCGTTATTGAAGGAAACCTTAGCACACTGAAGCTATAACGCACAGTTGCACGAAACAAAGTGAAAATAGTGGGTAGAACAACAATGACCCAGAGCTGCGGTAACGTGTAACCTTCTCTTTTCCTCGTCATTTTCTGGTCTCTTCTTCACCTTTTCCCAGTGCAGGTCAATCAGCCGGGGCTCAGTCTACCTCTTCCGTACCTCTATTTTCTTTCTTTCTCATTCAGATCATTCTACCTAATATAGAAGCGTGCAGGAAAAATAAAAACATTAGTGATCTATATATGGGGCAATGGGAGCGTCTTTGTACACATCTTTCTTTCGAGGACCCTCGGATGGGGGGTAACAATGCATTCATGCAGCGATGTGATTCTTATATAGTTAGCAGATTGTGGAATTTTACAGCTCTCCTATTTCGCGTGTATCCATTTACGAATGGTTTTTTTTTTGTATACTTGATTTGTTGCTATAGCATGAAACTGCTACCATGCTTTTTACTTCTTCATTCTTATCGAACAACTTCCTATTTTGTTGATGCGATAAACCATCTTACGCGAGGAAATTTCCAGCACGAGAAAAACAAACGGGAAGTAACCCTGCATTCTCCGAGGCGGCATTCAGTGGTTCTTTGTTTACTGTGAAGTGCAAGGCTTGGCGCGAAAAACAGGTCGGAAGGCAGACAGAAAGAGAGTGGGAGACTGAAATGAAGAGTGAAGGCTGAGATGGAGTTACTTGGTTTAGTACCTTGTATTTATTTATTTTATTTGTTTATTTATTTCAAATATTGCCAATCCCTCAGATGTATTATTACAGGGGTGGGAGTTAATTCATACATGAAGGTACAAAAGTAATGCGAACAGCAAATTCGCACTCTGTAAGAAATAGATATTTACACATACAAACAGGAATTCACACACTAAATTTACACACAGTAAGCAATTACATCAAGCATACCACAGCAACAGCAAAATAGCAATAAAATAACAATAAACAGAGTGAAATGTGCCTCCGTCAAACTGCTTACTCCACGAGTTCACGCAGTAATTTTAGCTTAGGCTGAGTAACGATAAATTCCTCTAAGACATTCCAGTCTCTTACGCCTCGTGGGAAAAATAGAAGTGAAATACATTGTTAGTAAGATTAAATTCTTCTAACGTGAATCTGTGTATGTGTCGAATGTCTCTAGCAGGGCTGCATGTAACAAATTACCTGGGGTTGATCTTAAAACTATTTTGTAACAACAAATACAGGAATTTCAATCTATGCACTTTCGCTTGGTTAGACAAAGTAGCGAGGCCAGCCAGTCGAAGAAGTTCTGTTGGGGAATCACTACGCTTGTAACGATTAAAAGTAAAGCGGATAGCTTTCCTTTATACCCGCTCAAGCACAGCGATGCTGTGTTTAGTGTGTGGAAACCACGCAATACTGGTGTATTCCAATGTCGGTCGGATGAGACTGGTGTAGGAAAGAAAACGTGTTTCATAGGTAGATCCATCAAGCGATCGTTTGAGAAAAAGACGAATTATTCATTGCTTTTTTTATTTGCTGCACATGCGCATTCCAGCTTAGGTCCCTGCTTATCGTTACACCCAAATGTTTGTACTGTGAAACGTTTCGTAGTAGGGGTACCGTTGACACTGTAAGGAAAAGTAAGTGTTGATTTTCTGTTTGTAATGTTCATGCAGACCAGCTTTTCTGCATTTAACATGATTTGCCAGTCTGAACACCACTGAGCTACTTCGTAGAGAGAATTACTAAGCTTTGTTTGGTCATCTTGAGTTTTTATTCTGTGGTATTGTACGCAGTCATCTGCAAATAGCCTAAAGTTTTCATCGAAGCCCTTAGTTATATCGTTTATATATAGTAAGAAGAACATTGGGACTAATACAGAACACTGCGGTAGTCCAGATAAAACGGGAACAGTATCAGATACATGTTCATTGTACTGTACGTACTGATAACGGTCTGAAAGATAATCTTCAATCCAACGCATGAGTCGTCCTTCTCTTTTAGACATCTTAGTTTATAGTTAAGCTTGAGGTGGAAAACGAGAACAAAAAGCTTGGAGAACTCCATAAAAAGTACATCTATTTGTAGTCGACTTTTAACACTTTTGGCAAAGTCAAGAAGCGTTTTTACTAATTGAGTAACAGTCGACAGGCCGCTACGAAACACATGCTGATTGGAGTGTAACATGTTGTGACTTTCGGCGAACTCTGTTAAATATTTCAGGATGATATGTTCCAGTATTTTGCAAGATGTGCATGTCAGAGATATGGGCCTGTTGTTATCCGGGGACAACGTATCCCCTGATATATGCACGGGTACTACCTTTGCTAGTTTCCAGTCAGCTGGAAGATGACCAACGTGAGGTGACTTTAAATATACACTTAAGGAGGGGCATATGGGCAATAACAGGCAGAATAAACAAGAAAAAAAGCAAGAAAACTTAAGTGTATTAAAATCGTACGCCCCACTTTATTCAAGAAATAATAGTGAACGAAAACAAATGTGGCATTCAAGGCCCACTTTTCTTTTGGCTAGAAATGGCCATATTGAAAATTAAGCAGTGCTTGACTTCATTGTCTGTTGGTTTTCAATATGGCTACTGATCAGCGCTGTTCTTATTACAATAAATACGGGAATATTGCATATAGGAATAGAGTCCCAATCAAAATATCACTGGGTATTCTTGCTCATTTGCAACCATGCAAGTAATCATTCAGACAGATGAATTGCGAACAACGAATTCTAAACGTACATTTCATTAGCAAGCGAGTAATGTTCATCTACACCAAGACTTGATATAAAATTCAAAAGAAACAAAAACGAAAAATATAACGAAATAATGGAATAACATTGTACATATACTCCACAGTGCAACGCTGCGTGTTTTGAGAAAGTCTGAAAGTATGTTTTAATACAAGACATGTATATGATTACAACAAAAAGCAATTTTGGTACGCAACATACTTGTTAAAGGGTCCTTAGCATTTTTTATCCTGAAAACAAAAAAATCTATGGCAGCTGTTGAAATATGTAATAATAATAAGTGATTTATATCAGACCCAGAGTGGAGTCTTGAATGGCAAGGCACAAGGCAGAACATTGTTTGCCTGACTAAGGCCTTGCCACCCATACATTGCTCCAATAGGGCGGCAGCATGTGATGGTATAGAAGACAAAAGGATGCACAATGTTTGTACACTATAGAAACTAACATAAATGTGTTACACATAAATGGCAGAAAAAAAGTAACACAATTAAAGAAACAAATATTTTGTATACACTAATACAATTTGTAATAACAAGAAACAAAAAAATGTATACAAGCACAGAGTGGCACTGATAATGTAGCAAATTAAAAAGATGATTAATCATACAACACTGAAACAAAACGATACGTAAAAAAGAAGATACCTAGCAATAAATTCAGTCACTAACAGAAAGGAAGTATCTCTTTATGGCATTTTTAAAGTAACTTAGACATGCAGTTTTGCGCAATACTGATAGTACTGGGCTGTGCATTTATAAAGCATGGGATTAAGTATGTAAGCTGTTTAGTACTGTATAATGTTCTCCAAAGGGGAACTCTAAACTGATCGTGCCTAAAATTGTATTGAGTGTTAGTTGAGAGGTACCTTAGGAAAAAATCTACAGTATGACCCACTATTAAAGGAACACTACAATGAACGCCTCATAATTCCGGCCCTCTAACAGCAAGTGGGTAAAGAGATAATGTGCATGAATGGTACTAGTGTGCCAAAAGTCAGAACTGTTTATCACTGGTGGTTTTATGCAAATTTTAAGCCACTAGGCTTTCGCGGTAGACTGAAACTCGAAGTTGCCGTGCACACAAGTGTTCCTTCTAACGGTGGACCTGTCTGTACGTTGCAATAAGATCAAACAAAATTACATGAAACAGACGTAGTAGTACAGAATTGGTCCAGGGAGCTAAGGGAAATGCCTTGATGCCTTATCAGGTTGGTTGTTATGCCTATAGATGTCGGCAATATGACACCGACGTCAAATGATTTTCTCACCGATGCAGGCATAGCTCCCCCCCCCCTTTTTTTTTTTTGCAATACCTATACTAACAAATACACTTGATACTAGAACTGTATTCAAAGTTTGTAAAATATTTTCTTTTTAATTTATCTCGACGTTCAACATGTCGTTATCGATCATGACAACAACTGCACTGAGCATTTACGAAAGAAAAACTTGGCGAATCTGGTCAAAAATGTTGTCCATCATTGTAACGTCACAACTTCGAGTTTTGGTCCAACGATGGTTAGTACTACATTAAACTACACGGCCCAAATATACGGGCAAGCTCGACCTTGTGTTTCTGTGGTGACTTACAGCCATACACGTCAGTTAAATGTATTTTCAGATCCTATGCTCAAGCCATTGCAAGGAGCGACAATTTCAGCTGCGCATCACAGACGCACAGAAAAAGCATTTGCACAAGAAGCAGTCGTAACCGCAGGCCCGACTCGCGCGCGTTTTACTGTCTGCAAACCAAAGCGCGCGCCACGAGAATCCTTTCTCCTGGTGCGCGCTTCCGCGTCAGCCGCGCGCCGCGGCGTGACTGCCAGCCAATGGAGAGAACGCCGGCACGCTTACGACGCATGACGTCGGCTGGCGTCACCGTTTCGTCAGGTCTTTTCCCGCACCAATGGCCGGCGTGGAGAGAATTCGACCGCGTAAAGCGGTCGTCGTCCGGCGCGGTCGGCTGCAGTTCTTCAGTAGACTACGCGAAGTCGGTCGGCGAGGGACCACCACGTTCTGCTGCGGGGAAGCGGACTTACGTGTTTTGTTTGCGGCGGCGTGGCCGGCTGCTGCTGCCGTCTTCGGTTTTCTGCCCACCTGCGTGTGACAGTGCAATCAGCGGTGCGCACCCGGGGTGACTCTGCGTCAGTGACAGCCCGCTGTCACCCACAGTTTCAGTCTCCCTCAATACGCCGGTTTTAGTCGCGGTGAGCTAAAGGGGTAAGTGAGGCGCCGGAGCAATGCTCTCGCCCGTGATCCAGGGACGAAACTGACGCGCCACCGATATACGCGCTTCTCTCGCCCGTTCGGCGGCGTCTGCTTTTCTGGAGCAAGCGCGATAGGTGGCCGCAGAGTTGCGCGAAAATATAAAGCAAGGAGAGCTTAGCAGACGACATTCCTTTTAGTTTAGACTTTTCTGAAGAACTTATCTTACGCGACTCAATTGTCGGCAATCGATTTCTCGCGTGCAGTTCCCCTTTCCGATTTGTTCCAGTAGCAGGAAGGGACACACACCCGTTATTTTTTGGTTGGTTTTCATTCATCGCGTTGTGCTTTCTTCTAGCGGCTGTCTAGTGAGTGAAACGATCACCGCTAACGGGCGTCTGCCTAGTAGAAAAGTACAGCGCACAGCAGGCGACGTCACCGTTCCGCTTCCGTTTTCCCAGCTGGGAGCGGCCGGACCCTGAGAAGAGGTGTCGTCCCTGTCTGGCGCGGCATCGCCACCGTGTCCGATCAAGACGATGCTGGCTGCTTTCCGCCACCGGCGCAGCCCGCTGCTTCGCCTATAATCCCACCTCGGCGCTTTCCTCGACCATGATAGCTCCCTCCGCAATCTCGTAATTTACAGGCGCGTGCTCCAAAAAGAGAAAAGGGGAGGAAAAGAACGCACAGTGTCGCGATGCTGCTGTGGAGACGACGCGCCCTGTGGACGTGCATCGCGGTGCTTGCCGCGCTCTCGTGGACATGCGGCGCCGACGAGGCGCGCGCACCCGTGGTGGACAGTGCGTCGCGTGGACACCACGAGGCCGTGCCACCGGACCCGGACGACCACACGGCGAGCACGGACGATGTTATCGTGTCACCCATCCACCACCACGGTGTCGGAGGCGGACACGCCGTCTCAGCCGGACACCACGGCAGCGGTGCGCGAGACGGGACTCCCAAACGGTTCCAGGTGGCCAAGGTGGACTTTCACCACGTTGCCACACCGTTCATTATATCGGTGTGGATAATAATTGCAGGATTCGCCAAAATAGGTGAGTTTGCGTCCCCTTCTGCATAAACTTTAGTACTAAAGCGACAGAACATACGTGTCCTACGCTCGTTTCGAGAATTAGGACACGCGGTCATACAAGAACTAACGCGGTCGTTGCCTGAGAACTGTTGGTGCGTACACAGCATACAAAAGGAAAACAAGCGTGTTTGGCACTTACTTGTAGGTATTGATGTTGGATCTTTGTGAGAGCATGTTTTCACCCTCAGGACTCTTATCAACCATTATTGTACCGAGTGCTTGCGCTGCCTGGTTCGTCCCTCTGTAGATAATAGCTCGACTCTGCAATTGTACGTTGATGCCTTGACGTTTTAAAAAAAAAAAGCCCATGTTCGAGTGAATGGTATGCCTTGTATAATTGAAATTTCCGGAAAAAATTCTTTGAATTGTCTGCTGCATGCCCGACAGAGCACGCTTCTCATTTTAAACAAGCCAGGACTTAGAAGTAATTACTAAGGTAGCCTGTGGCGAACCACCAAACGACTGCTAATCCGTCTTCACAAATGCCGCTGCTCGCAGAAAATTAAAAGCACGCTCTTCAATTACATCTCACACTCCTCCTGGATTGTGTTTTTGTTTTCATATTTCTCACTTTTTTTTTCATTTTCTACAAAGATATATCATGCACTTCCTGCGTAAATTTGCAGGCACCATAACATTTCAGACTCAGAGCAGTTTACCGAACGCTATTCTTATGTTTTAAAGAAATAAAGATTGCAGACAACGAACCAACATCATTCTGATCCATTTTTTTAATTACCTCTTGATTCTTCTCTTGGCACGCAGAGAAGTGATTAAGTCGGCCATTGTGCCTCGATCACGGAACTGATAATAAAAAGAAAAACCAGAATATATTATATAGAAGCTGTCGTCACCTTCATGTGGCTGCGTATTCTGTGATTGCGTCGTTCTCCAGAGTATTTACGGCATTCAACGTCTCATGACTTGCACACGTAAAGGTTCAACTGTGAAGCTTTGCGTGGGCTTAGTCCCATAGTTTTGCCGTCACACATTTTTTTTGTGTTTTCTGTATTTGTCTAAATCACCATTGCCGAGCTTCATTTTCAGTGATTTGTTACGCGTACACCTGCTCATTCAACGTTCTTTTCAGAAGTGTCACGCGATACTCGATATTAGTTCCAGACTGCGACGAATTAATTACGCTTCGTAGCTGACGCAAGGCTAGCTGAGCGTGAAAGTGGCTGCTATTCTATATGCAGCCTACAAACAAATTAACGAATAGTCCCCTTATCTCTCTATTTGTACATTTCGTTTTATTTTTTAATTCCCTCTTTTATGGCGCCGACACAGTTATAATTCAAATGAATGCCAGCACCCTCAGCATACAGTATACCCCACTAGGAGCAGTCAAGGCATGCTTAAAATTAAGTACGAGTCTGTAAGCGTAGGTTGAGAAAGCCGTGCGCAAGTAGTTCGTTATCTAGATGGGTCATATAAGAGAAAGTGAAGTCAGTAATTTTGGAGCGGGCTTCTGACCGTTTTGCCTGCTTTTACTTTTATTTTGGCGAGAACTGCATACCGAAGTGGCAGTTGGAGGTCACATGTTCTTGCTCTCAATGTGGGTCAAGAATACCTCCGAGCACCTCAGCTCAATTTGCGCGTAATTCAGTAAGTGTCTAATAGACTACTGCCAAATTCAGGAAGAATGTCCTTCGTAAGGTATCTTTGTTAGTGGCTGACTGCCGTCGCCTGTATGTCCAGCATTATGATCGGCTGAAGGTTTCTCTTAAGAACGAACAGTTTGTTCGTACGAGGTTTTTATGAATTCGGGTATACAGGTTTGCGTTTCCAAGCGCATTTTGTCATTGGTCGACCACCTTCGTTGATTATATGTTCACACATAGTATTCTTTTTTTAGCGAGAGAGGCTTTCGTGAATACGGAGCACCTACTCTTCGGGTTTAGAAGCGCCTCCCACTGTGCACCAATGAATCGTTGAGCTGTTGTCGATTAACGCCTGCGGCATTATGTTTTCTTCACCGCTCCCATTTCGCAGCTCGCGGACGACAGTATCTTAGCACGGGGCTGCGAAAACAAGTTGACCCTTCTTTCCAACCCCCGCCCCCCTCTCGCCTGCCGTGTACACGCCACATAAACACAAGAACCGTACACCGCAACAAATTGTTTGCCCGAGTGCGGTCGGCTCTTGTCAGGTTGAGGGGATCTTCATTTCAATGCCTGTCCTTTGCACGCGCTTGTGTTATGCCGATCAAGAGTGGGCAAGCAAATAAGGCTCCCGCTGTGCATAACGAAACGGTGGAGCCCCTTTGTTTGCCCGCGCGGAGCTTTCTATTCTAGGGAACTCGTGGTGGTGTCAGGGGGCCTGCGTGGGCGGCGAGGGGGGGTCACCGCTGGCCGCTCGCTCAGCGCTACATGTGGACGACGAAAGGAAAGCAGCGCCGCATATCATCACTCTCCCGCCGGGTGCGCGAAAAGGTCCCGAAAATAACGGACGGGGCTCTCTCCGCAAGAATCACTCCTCTCGGAGCGCGCAGATAACGGTCGCGTGCGCGGAGGAGCGCGCCTCTGCACGAGATCCCCCTTTGCGGGGAAGGAGAGCACGCGGCAGCCCAGGCGCCGCTAGATAGCCGCCGCTGCTGTTAATGGAGAGAATAAATGCAACCGGCGGTAAAGTGTTTATTTCATTATTGTAACGTTTCCTATTAGTGCTCGTTGGCGAAACGTCGACACGAAGAAGGAAACGAGAAAAGAACATTCTGGAAACCAGCAATATATCATTGTCGTGGCAACCCTTACAATTCTTGTTTTTTTTTTTTGTGGTTCCTGTTCTATTTAACATAAATAAATTGTCTTTAATAAATACAATACAATGGCGTACTGCACTAATCGCTTATAGGCTGTGGAATAAGAGCATGTACATATACCTTCCCATTTGTTTACGGGGAAGGAAGATGCTCGGTAACGACAGGGGAATAGGGACTGCTGGCCTCGTCTCTTATTTTCCTGCGTTACCGTGGTATAGTATGGTATAGTATATAGAACTACTAGATCACGAAAGGCACGCGTATTCGTAGCGTCACGCAAACATTTACACAGTTTTCCTACATTAATGAGCACTGTCTTCTTTATTGTCTGTGGTAGCCTCAGTAAACTGCGGCTATTGTGAAGATTGCTCATTTAAGTAGGGCACGTCACTTATTTGCTTGAAGTGAAAACGCAAACTGCGCCAATAGCCGACATGCCTCTTATTTTGCTTAGCCTCAACGCTTTGCCATCGCCACAGAACACTCTAAGCCAAAACGGAGCAACAGGGGTATAGGGGTTGCTCCTTTCAGGGAGCAATTGCATTGCCACTCCCATTACTCTCCTAAAAGGAGTAACTGCAGAGGGAGGAACCGTTGCTCTCCTTTCAGTTCCTCCTTCGGGGGATGAACAGTTACTCCCTCCAGTTCCTCCCTGCAGACCAACAGTTACTCCCACCAGTTGCTCCCTGCCGACCAACCATTACTCCCACCAGTTGCTCTTCTAAGAGCAACAGTTACTCTTTACCGTTCCTCCCACGTGTTCGCAGTTACTCCCTAAAAACCAACTGCACATGCTTCCAGTTACTCCTTGAGGAAATGAGTATTTATCTCGAGTATGCTTGTCACACGCTTAACACATGGCGAGAGCTCCTTGGAAGAGCACTGCTTGGGTGCTTCTAACGCAAAAAGTGGACAATATTGAAAGGAAAATAAATGCTTTATTTTTCTTTTTATGAGGCGACGTGTGACCACACGTAAAAGTAGACTTCGCCACACCACAGCCAGCACTAAACAAACACCATAATACATCAAAGGTTTTCTGCGTCATCCGTGGAAAAACAATCTTGAATTCCTAGCATAGGGCAGTCTGTGTCATCATTGGTGAGAGAAGGGCAACTTCTCCAATTCTGAAGAACTCAAGTGTCGCAGCTGGTGTTTCCATCAGGCTAGCGCAGCAGAACGTCACCGCAGGCATATGTGAAGCATCTCATTTCTGCAAGAAAAAAATAGAAGTGTGAGGTTAAACATGCCAGAATCAATTCATAACAATGAGTCACACACACTGCAGCAGTGCTTACATTCTAGGATGTCTACTGCAAAACGAAATGTGAAAAAAAGGAAGGTTCGGCCAAACGTAACTTGGCAAGCCATATAAATGCTGATGTGGTAGACACTCTTCACATGATGTCTCAGACAGCAATATTCTGGAAGAAAATGTGCAGCACCTCAACAAGGCATATTTGTAGCAGTTAAAGATACCCTTAGGTACAGTTAACTTGTTTCCTATACACAGCGGAGTGACATTTCTATGAGCCCATTCACCAATGGGCATTCTAAATGAGGTCTTGTGTGTGGCAAATAACACGTACTGTCCGCTCATGTTAAAATACTTATTTAGCTCGTGCCCATAGTTGCTCTCGATTCTACTGTTCTATCATACGCTGCTGCGTCTTGAATTGTGCAATACCTGTAGGCACAAGCCAAGCAACCATTTGCAGAGGCTACATGATAATCTTCAGTATATTTCTTTGTACCTGACGCAAACGGCTGGACAAAACTATAGACAAATAAATGTAGACCGTGCTACCTTCAAAAAATGCTTTAAATTTTGAAAACTAGGGTGCATTCGTTCACTCGGTTGACGAGTCACAGCCACGAGATATGTAAACAAAGCAATATATCTTAAGGCATGCACAGATATTCTGATTCTTTGTTTGACAGTGTCACAGATAGCTTGCCAATACATATATATTTGAGAGCAACAAGATGTGAAGCTTTCATTAGTTCAACGTCTTGTTGGTTCACAGCCAAACAGGTTACTGCTTGTTAGACAAATTGGAATAAGCACACCATCGTTTCCAAAAAAAAAAAAGCATTATTAGAAGTTAGCTCCTGGTGTGAATGTCTGCCTATTTATTTTGTACTGCCTTCTACATGTGCCACAAAGACATTTGTTGAGGATGTGCTACCAGTCAAGC